AGAGTTGGCTCTATGTCACAAGAGAACAGTTTGATTGGCATATAAATATAGAAATTCATTGGCATGTTTGTGGTATGTATAAGTGGGATGAAACGCTATGAACAGCCATTTTTTGGTTCATGCGTGGGCATATATCCCCAGCACTCTTTCAGATTTCTGTCTTCTGTTTTTCATCAACAGAAGACAGAAATCTGAAAAGTCTGCAAGATTCGAATCTGAATCGAACCTTGCAGACTTCTGTCTTCTGCTTTTGTCACCTTCCCACCCTAATCACAGATATCTTGGCGTGATGTAGCCTATATTTGGAAGTGATGGGAGCTGGGAGCTGTATTTTCATACAGGTGTCATGCAGTGTGCACACCAGAGCCTGGAAATAATCTCAATAAGTGCCTGTCTGTGTTAGACCACCAATGTACCAGCCATAATTACATTCATTCATGCAAGAGGACTATCACTCTTAGGGGCCTGAATTCATTAGGAAGTTGTTTTCATCTCCTGCAGTCATTATCAGCGGGCTTTATGTTTGCTTTCATTTTGTATCGATTTGCTCTGAAATTATTGTTAAACACACACAGACACAGTTTAGCCTATAGGAGTACGCAGTCTACAATATTCTGCTGCTGCCACATTTAGCCAACATGAATGTTGGAATATCAACTGAGCGACAGCGCTGTTGATACTGAAAAATGAAGTCCTCGTACCTAAATGTCTTATAAAACAACTCATATGAGCATTTATTTTTTTTATTATTGTCTTTGGGGGCATTTTATGTCTTTATTGGATAGCCGACAGTAGAGAGCTGACGGGAAACAAGTGGGAAAAGAGAGGGGGAATGATATGCTTCAAAGGTCCCTGGCTGGACACAAACTGGGAAATGGGGTTGATGCTCAATGCGAAGGCAATGGGATCCCATCAGTGGGTTATCTGATCTGTGGTTAAGGTTTGTTAAGTTTAGGAAACCGAAACTACTTAGTTAAGGTTAGAGTAAGAAGGAATCCAATGTTTACTGTTGACCCAGACCTCTCTGCTTGGTGGGGTTAAAGTTAAGGTTAGGTGGTTTTGTGGTGGTACAACACCATCAAGCTATTTCCACCTTGATTCTGAGTGAGAGTGATTTGCAATAACACAAGAGGTTGCTGAAAATATGTGTATTTTTTAAGAATTTGCCAATTTTGCAGTTTTTCTGGCGACCACAGGCTCCCAGAAAAAATGCTCCTAGGGGAGTTGAATAAGACTCAGAGTTTACAGCCATGCTAGCAGCTCCGTCAGGCTGTACTTACAGGTACAGTAGTACTTTGAGCTACAGGCTAATGTCAACATGTTAACATACAAACAATGAGAATTTAGCATGCTAATATCTAGCAGGTATTTTTGCAGGTATTAGGCCATAAAACAAAGTACATTTTTGACCTGACAATGGCACTAGATGAAGAGTCAAGAGAGGCATGAATGTCTGTACCAAATTTTATAGCAATAATTCTTGAGTTGATTTTACTCAAAACCACATATGTCAACCTCAGGGTGGCGTCACAGTAAAAATCAAGTCAAGGGATCACCGAAGTTAAGAGTAAACATCATCTGGGAACCCCTAATGTCTGCAAAAACCTTTGTGCCAATCCATTCAGTAGATATTTCACTGAATAAGTGAAACTTTTGACCTGTTGCTAGATGAAAGTCAGTTGCATTCATCTTCTGAGAGCCATGAATGTGTGTACAAAAATCTTTGGCAATACATCCAGTAGTTGTGGATATATTTTAAGTGTGAACTAACTAATATTGCCATGCCAACAGCAACAAAATAGAATCAGAATCAGAAATACTTGATCCCTGGGGGAGGGGGTAATTTGTTATAACATGCAGTATGATTATTTTTTCTAAAAAGCCAGTGCCCCAGTCTGGGATCTTTGCCACCTCTCTCTCTAACTCCTTTTCCCTTCCTACTATGAAAGGCAGCAAAATTGCTAAAAGTGAATCTTTAATCTTGTACAATTTGTGCTGGCTTCCTGGTGACAACAGAGCCAGAGATAAGGCAAATAGGATGAAGCAGACAATAAGGAGGTTAAAAGAGGCTGCCCTGCTTTATTTCCAATACTAATTGCCATTCAGCAGGGGTGAGGAGCTGGCCACACAAGACAGCACACATTGTTCTGCTGTCAGGATGACCCTGCTGATGTCAAGTCTGTACCCATCTGCTACTGTGGCTCCCAATCTTTTAACCTGAGACATATGACTTCACTTTTATGAATGCCATCTTTTTGTTACTGCTTTATAAACATCCTGGGAGTGCAATTTGTCAAATTCGGATAGATTCTTTAATTATCATCCAATATGTTTCAGTCCCTCAGGTGCTTTTATTATTTTGTGACTTCATTATCATTATTTGTTTCATAACATTTGCCAATAAACTTTATATTAAGCCATGAGCTGTTTGGCAGATTCTCATTACATTTCTTTTTCAAATACTTTGGAAGCACATTTTATATCCATAGTGTACCTGGGGGCATCTGTTTGAAATATTATGCCATATTAAAAAGAAATATTGCATCATTGTTGCAAAGGTGCTGCTTTCATCGTGGCAGAACAAAACCAAGAAAAAATGATTTCTTCTGGCAGCATTGTCTGTGTATCATGTACAGATTGTTCAAAAAATGTCATGCTCATGCAATTTAATAGTCAGCAGCGTTTTTACGGCCAGCGTTCTCACTTTTTTGTCTGCCTGATCAGGAAGCCCTTTTTGTTCTGGTGAGAGGCAGCAGATAAGACAGAAGGAAGGATAAAGGTTTGGCTCGGCCTCTCACAATGAATATGAGGATGGAGAAACACAACTCAGCATGTTCCCTGCTGTTTCTGTGTCTCTGACATATTTGCTGTGACATGCCCACCACTACCCAGGCTTGGTTGTGACCCGATGGGGAGCTGTCTCATAGTGTTAACCTCATTTACCAGCTAACCATCACCCCCACAGGGCAATGCATGCCTGACATTGGCTCTCCTCAGTCAACATATATAAACATGCACACGATATAGCATGCCATCCTCTAAAGGACCCATAAAGCATGAGAAACTGAATTTCACTGGATTAGGCTGAATGTCGGAAACACTGGCGTAATGTTTTTGTCATCTAGAAAATGTCCTTGTTATAAGGCTGTGAAACTGTAGCACAGCGATCATGTAGGTGGAGGCTGCAGTTTCCAAACATTGCAGCTGCAGTGCCACAGACATATTATTAAGCTCTCTTATTTGCATAAATCCTAGTTTTGATGTCAGTGTTCCACAGTGCGTCCAACCACAAGATATTTGCCACATCATGTTCACAATGCCTTCTGGGCCCAGAGAAAAGACTGAATATGAGCCTGTCAATGAATAAAATCCTCAGTCACATGATTTATCATCCACTTAGACAAACAGCTAACAGCTCCACTTATTTCCAATTGTG